TTCGGAACACTACCGAGATGCTGTACATAGCCAACTTCAATTAGTAGAGATGGACATTAGGGACAATATATGCCAACCGACTTCAACAACTGCAATCGCATTCAAAATTCGAGTATCTAATAACTATTTTATGTAAAGAAAATTGTTTAAACAATAAATCAGGATTGAACTGGGAACCGAGTCCTTCTGTCAGTGCGATGAATTGCTTAAAAATTATATTTCCAGTGTGAGGTGTGAGATAGACTTACCTCCACGTGGAACACCCCGGGCAACGTATACTCGTACGGCAAAAAAGTCTATAAACCGGCAGTTGACTTCTGACTTCAAACTACCATCAACCCACTGTATGCCATATACAACCACTTCCAGAGTACTTATCCTACCTTTTCTCTGCCTTTGTATCTGACTGTCTGTCTCTCTTACACCTGTGAATTACTCTTCTCTCCCTCCTCACGAATTTTTCCCACTTTGATGTTTCTCCCCTCTGTGAAGCCCGAAGTCAGCTAAAGAGCTAGTGATAATTACCAAAACGCCTGCCATTCGAAGTAAGTATCCTTCCAGTGTGATTTCGGACTAAGACACAAGGGGATAGTGTTTGGCGAAGTAAACTGATAGGGAAAAATACACGAACCTCATCAGCCGGAGGAAATTGGCCAAGAAAAAGTTGAACCAACGTTCGGGCAGGCCGAGAGTAGTGGTAGCTGAAAAGTGTCCGTGCAACTTCCGTGTGAAGACAAGCGGATGAAAAGCTGCAGTATCTTTCCTGGTTGTCCCCTTCGTCATTCTTTTCGTTTGAAACGATGGCAAAAGCCCCTGCTCGACGTGTAAGAGAGAGCAGGTTTCCGAGAACACGACCAGAAAAGAGTCCATTCATCAAACTCTCCACCTCTTCCACTACATCATGTCGCCATTTTTCGATTCTTAGATCTTCAGACACTGGAAGCGAAGTAATAGGTAGATTACTTCAAAATCGTATCTAATTTCACACAATAGGATAACAGTAGCCATTTCTTACCCTGAGGACAGACGAGTTCACCACTCCGACAGGCGGCAGAAATGCACAACCTCTGCGTGATATAACTGGATGTTTCAATGGTCAATTTCTCGTCTGCTTCACCATTTGCCATTTCCCCATTCATGCGATTCGAAGAGTCCCTATCAACCAAAAATGAAGAGAAGTATAATCTGCGGTGATCTTTTTCAATCAAGTTTTCAAACTTAAGTAAATCGGGTTGAATTTCCAGATATCAGACACTGAATATCACTCTGTTATACCCGTGGATCTTTTAATTTTAATCGTTGTTCCAGCCTAATGCAAGATTAGCCTCTTGAGTAGAGCAACGTACCTCTATACTCAAGCCGCACTGATGGGACAAAGCAAAGACAAATCTAGCCATTCTGCAAACATTTAGTTCCAGAGTTCAGTTGCTCCATGAATAAACGGAATTTCAAAAATATTCCAATCGAGTGTATTACATTGAAAACAATTTCCGATTTGAATTGATTGATTTGCTCATAGTTGACTTTTTACCTGATCGGAGTTTTTGCTCTATAGACAGCCTAAAAACGGCAGATACGTCTATGAATTAGTATGATCTTATCACCATACCCAACCACATTACCACGCATATCAAAGCCGGATTTGTCGTCAGGCAAATCCCGCCCCCAACCCCCTTCAACTTAAAAGTAACTTAACTAACTAACCAAATCTCTAAATTTACACAAAGCCAGGAACCGTCATGCCTTCGATCCGACTTCAATGTTTCTATTTTCCGATTTCTTTCCACTTGCGTATTCACAACCTTTCCCTGAAATCAAACCCACTAAACCTAATATCTTGCAAATAAGGAGCTAGGCAATCCAACAATAAAACCGCATTTTCACAACCTCGGGTTTGGACAATTTGTGGGAATTAAAACGGCCCACTGGAGGAGGTGGTAATATATGTGAGGAGGACACCACTTTACAATGAAACATAACAAATATCGGAGTATGGGCAAAGAACTAACCCATTAACAACAGAGGTGGGCGGTTTCGGGATCTGAGGGGTCTCAGGTGGGAAGAAATGCCGTCCAAGATTGCTCACATCAGTTGGTAGAAAGAGACCCCGAAATGTGAAAATATCTGTTAATCCGAAAGGCTGCACGCCGGCGTTAGCTCCAGTAGGTGTTCCTTCAGGAGAAGCACTCGGCGATTTTGAATCACTTCGAAAAGCAAAAGGAAAATCGCACTGTAAGATTTAATTACTTAGAGGCAAATTCAATGTTAAATACCGGATCCTACACAGCAGAATTTAAATTAGAGAAGCATCCGGGACTTGAGAGGGACTGAGCCAAAGGAGAGTAGTTCGTAGGTTGTATAGATACTCGACCAGGAAGTGCCGAGATGATAGACACAGTTCTCTCGCGTTCTATTCCAATCATTGAGGTCTCTAAGCCATCCACCGTATCCTCAATCCCCAATGAAGCATTTGGATCCATTTCAACGACATTACGACCACTTTTGCCTCCACGCCCACCACCACGAAATGTGACGCCAGCTCGACGGACAATCCAGCGTACTGGTTTGAGAAGTTGGTCCATTGGACGAGAGGAGTGCGAATCTGCGATGGACGATGAGGATGGAGAATGAGCCGATGGTGAGGCAACGGTAGTGGGAATTATGCCTGAGAGGGCTCCGGGAGATAGAGAGTTGGGATCAACACAATCACCCAATGAAAACATGTTATGGCTGTGGCGATGAGGATTGGCTTCATTCACGACTGATAGATCTCCAATTGAAAGAGAAAATTAATAAAATAATTGAATAAAGGTGGGGAGAGCATAAAAGGTAAATAATTTATCTATCCAACGGTAAAGTCACGTTGCGTAGGTATATATATATGCAAAAGCAATGAAAGTTCACTCTCTTAATTGAAAAGGAATTTGAAGACAAACCCATTTAACCAAGAATTATTAGTGGAGTAAAGCAACTACCACTAGATTTAAACTCACTAATACTCATAGGTGACCGTTCTTGAGCTCTACAAGGATTTGAAGATGTTGGACCGTCAATCTCGTCCTGTTGTAATGGGAGGGGAACCTTGAGTTGAAGAACAGCTCTCTCTCGAAGGGGCCATATGTGATTCAGGCGGTCTGTTGTACTCAAAAGCCAATTGGTATCGATCGATGAGAAGGAGCAAGAGTCTGAAGTGGTCTCAACATCTCCAACTATCCAGGGTCGGAGTAGGCTTGCACCGGAAGAAGAAGAAGAGATGTAGCATACACTCAGCCAGGCTGTCCTAATGAAATTAAAAGTTAACTTTACTCTCACTCGACGAAACTACTCTATAGGCTGGCAATTGTAGATTATTATTCTGCAATTTCTTTGAACTAATTTGTTCAGACTCTAGGTCTAAACAGCCAATAACTCGCTTTGAAAAACATGCAAGCATTTCAACAAAAAAACTTGAAATAACTTTTTTTCTAAAACAAAGGTGAATAAATTTTGTACTTGTCAGAGGACAAAAAAAGAGCACAATTTGCAAGCATCAGAGATATACTTGTCAAGATGGCAGTGTTTAAGGCTAGCGGTCCCTACACTTCTAATAGTTGTAAGGGACAATTATTTAGTCTAGTAAGGAGAGAGGACTGTTGTGTGGCTGCTCTAAGATGCTAAATCGTTTTAGAGCGAGGTCTAAAGGAATAAAATTTGTGCTTGTAGGTCAACCCACGGTATGCACCAATGAGAATTTTGATAAGGCCAACAATCTAGAAATCATAGACCATAGACACCCTCCTAATCATTTGGCTAATAGGTCTCTGAGGAAGCCCTATGGGGATGTGAAATCCTCCTATCATGACATCTCGTACGTCCACATTAGCGACATTACCTATTAAGAAACTACGTCAAACAAAAGCGGTCATAGGGCATTTTGGACCAATTATTAAAGTGCTTTCTCCACCCGCTCCACCCCCTGGTGATTTTGGCGACCCGCACTAGTGGACTGAGCAGGGTCAAACACTAACCAATAGTTGTATTTCATGGAGGCATTAAGAGGGGTCAAATAATGACCAGTTCAAAATAATCGATGAAGTTATACGTATTAGAAAAGGGCTATTGCTGAAACAAAAGCTGCAAGTAAAAACAAATTGCTTCGCATAAATTTTTGGAAACGGAAAAAAGGCTTAAACATGGATAGAAAGCTAATAAAAAGGAACAAAACGATTTGTTAACTGAGGGACAAACAACATTTTTAAGCTAGTTGAGTAAAAATAGAAAAAAGCTCTCAATCCATTACTCTCCAGACAACGTTTAACGCGAATCACTTCAAATCATCCATCGGAAGAGCCCGACAGAGGCAAATAGAAATTGCGAATTCATCCGAGCAAACCACATTCGAAAATTATTCTGCTTGCACTTCCCATAAGGAAAAGGAAAACTGGCACGGTAACCTTGTACCAACTACCCACGCTGCCGAAAGAGTAACACATAAAGACATAAATAGCACTAAATGACTATAAAGAAGCTAATTTTTTGCTAAAGGAGGAATTGATTATGGAAAAGCATTGTCAGTGTCACGAACAGAAACAGTCATGATATAGGCTTAGAAGATACAAACACAATGGCTCAAGGAAACTATTCTAACTCACCCTCGAAGAGACAACGAATCTGCATTAGCGATATTCCAAAATATATCCCTGAGTACGGTGGGCGCTTGATTCCACCGCATTCCATTGGGAGTTACTAGTACACTAGCCAGGGCCCAAATGGCTGATTTGACCTGTGCCACACCGAGTTGACCTTCACTCGACTTATTCATAGCCAAATTCCGACTTCGTGAAAGCACATCGGCTAGAGTCTAGAGAAGTTGAATTGATCAAAAGGTAAAGATACACCTTATACAGATTAAGTAGTCGAATCATAGAAGCATTAAGGTCGGACCTTTAAATATCCATTATCCTGGAGAATATGCAAACCAGCTTCTTGCATAGACAAACAGTAGAAGAGGTGAAAGGGGACATAAAGTGCAGCTCGATTTTTATAAAAAAGTTCAACTGCGACTGGAGAGAGCTCTACAATCTCATCTAGGCGTAAACCACCTTCTTCTCCATCGCCAAGGTGACTAAAGAAGAGACGATTGCTCTGTCGGTTCAATAAAAAATCATCTTCAGTATCACATGAGGTGTTGTCACTTTCAGATAGCGCCGATTTGTCATATTCGTTGAAATTCACCGGTTGATTGCATGCTGGACAGCGCTGAAGGAATTTGGGGGAATGGTCTGAAGAAGGTGAACTTCTGCTCTGTAAAGGGATAGGAAGACGAAATGCGTTTTGGAGACTGCTTTCAATGCTATTTGCGAATCTTTCATTGTAGAACTACAAGAAAAGGAGGGAAATAGATCATTTCAAACTAATAATAACTCAATAACCACAACCCTAAATATATTAATCGAAATAGACCTTGTATTTCAGGAGAGAGGAAGTGAATTACCCCCCCCCCCCCAATCTACTAAATTTGAGTTCTCTTTTTTTCGCGTTATTCAGCTCAAATCGTGTTGGCATTTCCCAACTATTCCTTAGATCGTCCATTGGATATGAAAAAGTAGCTTAGTAAAGGTCGAAAATTACAAGAAAAGCGTATGACATAGTGATAGACTTCTATGCTCTAAGAAATTCCAAATTCAAAGTCATCAGAGTACCGCGTTCATTCACTTTCTCCATTTACACCTCATCGCCACACCAAATTTTTCCAAGGCGTGTCCTATTTGCAGACACAGCTCATGTAAAAATAAAGACAAGGACATATCAGTGCATCTTTAATGGTAAATACCTGTACATTTAGTTGAATGGGAATTAGTAAAATTTCAGATGAAGTTATTAAGAGCAGAAATATTATCCTTAATTCTTCTCAATGCATAATAGCCGAATTAAGCTAAAATAACACTTACTTAAAAAGACAAAATTAACAACCTACCTCCATCCAAGAACGAAGAATGACCTCGAGCAACGTTCCCTCAATAGTTCCACGAGGATTGGCACTATTCCCTGACAGTCGAGAATTGAAGAGCCTCGGCGTGGAGGCAACCTTGAACACCCAACTAGATTTGGCCAAGAGGAAGGCTACAATTCGCTGGCTTGAAAGGGTACCGATTGATAAAAAGCGGAGAATAGGACTAGGAAATGCTGAACAACACCGCTTGCCAGTACCCTGTCTGCTTTCTGTTTGCATGCAATCCAACAGGGATTGGAGGTAGGAGGGATTTAGGCATGCCTCCTGAAGAGAGGAAAGTAGGGGAACACTTTTAGGATATACGTGGAAAAGGCGTGTAAGATGCCATGGTTATACATAAATAAGTAAAACAACTTGGGGCGAAATCATGTATAACCACTAGAAGGAAAATTCATACATTAATAAAAAAGATCACAAAGGCAGTGCTGTGAAACTCCCCCCCCCACATTTGAATGGTTTCCCAATGACGCTCAAACTAAGCAATTGATTTATTTCCCAGAATCAACAAATTATCTACATCACGAAAATTGAGATAAAAAGTAATAGCTTTCAGGCGTTACAATGAGAGAAACCAAATTTCATCTAAGAGAGGATCAACACTTGCATTCTGGACAAATCAGATAGTAGTTTGTACCATTAAATTCTTAAATCCGTGATTAAGTCACGAGAGATAGTAGACCCACCAACCTCTATAGGCCAAACAAAACTTGCATATATATTGAAAATTAGACCAATCTGCTTCATTCCTTCATTATATAAATTATTATAATAATTAGCATAAAATGTTACTTGTTCTTAAGGACTCATAAAAGGTTTCTAAACCACACATTCCACTCAACTCCCAGAAAAAAGGAAAAGCTAAGCATTTCTAGCTACGGTTCAGGCCACAATAAATAACCTTCAAAAATTAAGGGTGTTAACTTCACCATAAATTATGCACAGGAGCAAAATCCAAACACAATTTCGCCATTGGATGGCGCTTTAGTGGAACGTGAATTTTCAGGTAGTAATTGGCCACAGCTCACCAACCGATAGCCTAAAAATTAGCCAGCCAATGATTACACTACCATTACCAGCCAGTTTTCAAGTGCTTCCATCTAACCGGGCACAGAAATAGAAACGAATTAAAAATAAACAAGATTCTCAAGGAGGAAGAAAAATGACTTCAGAAGACGATATGAATGAGGTAGTTACTACTCTGAGCACACACTTCTTACAAGATAAACGATTCCGATTTCAAAACTTTAATGAATCTCGAGCGTACCTCAAGAACAGAGATCGCTTCATGCATAACTCTGGCGTTCTGATCTGCAGTCAAATTGAGTAGTAGAGGAACCAGCCAGATCTCTCCGAAGGGAATATTCATCCTTATGAGCAAGCGAATAAACTTCGTGGCCCAGTGGCGTAGAGCGACATGACCAGTGGAACAAACCGTTGCCAGAAGACTTCGACCGAAACCACTCCCTGTGTAATTTATCGACGAAAGGAGGAACTTGGCACATAGCAGGCGCTGTTTTCTCACAGCCGAAAGAGAATCTGATTGTTTCAATGCCAATGGATCGCGAATAGGCTCGCCAACAGAAAGCGTGATCAGTAGATCGGGAATATCCATGGAATGAAGGAGTGTAGATCCCGTCTCACAAGAAAGAAGTCTTCCCAGTCCAAGTAGAAGAAAGCTTGAACAGTGTTCTCGAAGATGATTGGATTGGAAGAGGAGATGAGTACAGGAAAGAACGGGAGAAGAACTTGGTGTAGTAGCAGCAACAAGGCAAGCTCGAACAGCAACAAGAAAACGCCGTAGTAGAGAACCGGGAAAACTATTTTGAGGATAAAGTGAAAGGTGCGGAAGAAGACCAGATACTAAAATAGCAGCTGCCCAAGCCTGAGACCAATTTCGACTAGTCCAAGAGAGGCTTTGAAGAATACTGTTGGAAGAAGGGACTGTATTAGAAAGAGTTCGACGATTTAAAAGGCGTACATAGGCTGGAGATAGGGGAAAGGAATCTTCCTGAGAATTGCCAGATGACTTGACAAGGAGTGGGTAGAGAGGAGATGATCCTGAAGGATAAGCGATGTCCATTGGAAGCGTAATTACATCAATATTAGGAGTAATGAAATCCATTAGGCGCGCCAGAAAACTAAATGAAAAATAAGTTTACCTAGAGAGTTGATAAGACTTTAGCCTACCCCTAAGGTGAATATTTAACATCAAGATCAAACAGTCAAGAATGACAATCTAGAAGCTGCGTTCTTGTAGGCCTAGCCTACCAATCTAGAAGGCGCCCATAGGAAAGATGGCTGTAGAAAAATAAAATTATATGAAAACAGAGTCCACAGAGTTAATTCAATTTATAGTAACCACAAGTCTTAGTTTAGTGCTCGAAAGTTATGAATATGAGAGACTTCGTTATCAAATCTGCATACTCCCTTCAAACACTGCTTCCAAATCTATTAAGCGAATGTTATATCGAAAATCATGCACTTTTTAAGCAAATGGAAATTTCAGCGAGAAAGCCAAATGGTCATTTTATAGTAAATGATTGAAATGTGATACAAAATAGGCTTTCAGTCGAAAATAGCTGCAATAAAATGAAGATGTAGATAAGTAAGAAGGAAATGCTGGCTAATGATTGATGAACTAACGAATAAGCATAAGCTGCTACAAAAGGCCTCATAAATTAATATCAGTATTGATTCACAAACTTTAGTGGTCAATATTGACATTAGGGAAGCCAAAAACAATGGCGGATTGCCACAAAAGATATTAAATGAAGTGACAAGCTTTCAGTCGCCTAACTAACCGAGAAGAGAAATAGGCAGAACCTAAAGCAACATTTTTACGAATTCATGGCGCAAATTTCATAAAACATTAAACCAGCTTACTAATAATGAATATTACTTTTAAAATAATATCCTCACTTTTGGCTGTTCTGATCCTTCCAAGAAAAAAGCACTGTATTAGATGAAGACAACTTTCGACCCCATGAGGCAAGGCTCTCCCAATCCCATTCATAAGGTGATGTCATTGAGGAAGAAAGTTGAACACCAGTGCTTAACACTCCTGAAGAAAACGAGAGCTGAGAAAATTGAGAAATGCTTTTTGCAGCAACCGATGTTACTGAAGTTCCAGATTGAATTGTCGTATTATTTATGTTAAGAGGAGTTGAGCATATGCTACTAGAATTGATGACACCTTCCAGAAGATTGTCCGAATACTAGGTAAAATACGAATTATTTCGAATTACTGAAATAATATAAGTAGATAAGATAATGGAAAATTACTAACTTGAGTAGGAAGGGCTGTCCTAAGTGAACTAGATGTTTTTCGAATTAGTGACGCGAAACCCCCAGAATCAGATTTTGCGGTACTAGCAGTACTTGCTCGACCCATGGGGGATGAAATAACTGGACAAGAAGTTGCTGGTTGGCGGGAGAGGCATTCAAAGAAGGGCGACACTAACGGAGCACGAAGTTTAGGTCGTGGACCAACGTAAATGCGCTCTGTCAGGGTTTGATTAAATCTATCCATGAAATCAACTGCGCGGAAACGATTTCGAAGCAATGGAATACGTGACAAACGTCCCACAGAAATGGAGCTTGGATGCAGTTGGGTATTCGCCTGTATATTAGGGTAAAAATAATTGAGAGCAACGGAGATAGCAGAAACGCCTCAATAAATAAAATTCTCTGCTTTCTGGCGCTCAAATATCGCACGCTTCTCCATACTCTACTTTAAAATCCTCCTCAATTCAAGAAGCAATATTTTTACATCTTTAATAATACAAAAATCTACTCAAAAGTCCGGGCTGTTCTCAATCTGCAAGAGGGTTGGACCGGACCACAGGGACAAGTATCACCTAAAGACACGAGAGCTTGAAAATAAGCGCCACCCCCCCCCCCACCCCCCCCCGCCCACATTTAAGTGTAACTCACTTTCCCG